CTTTTTATTTATTTTTTGAAGGAAGTTTAATTCCAAGTTTATTAATAATTTTAGGATGAGGATCAACCTAAACGTTTACAAGCGGGAATTAATTTATTATTTTATACATTATTTGTATCTTTACCAATATTAATTGGTATTTTTTATTTATATGAAAAATCAGGAAATTCAAATTTTTATATTTTAAGTAATTATATATTTTATTATGAATTAATGTATCTATCTATAATTTTAGCTCTTTTAGTTAAAATGTCTATATTTTTAGTTCATTTATGGTCACCCAAAGCTCATGTTGAAGCTATAATTTCTGGTTCAATAATTTTAGCTGGAATTATATTAAAATTAGGAGGATATGGTCTTTTACGGGTATTTTCTTTTATTTCAGTTGTTTGTTTAAAATGAAATTATTTTTTATTAGAATTTCCTAAATTGGAGGTATTTTAGTTAGATTAAATTGTTTACGTCAAGTTGATTTAAAATCATTGATTGCTTATTCTTCTGTTGCTCATATGGGGATTGTTTTAGCAGGAATTATAAATTTAAGAAATTGATGAATTTGCGGAGGATATAGATTTATAATTGGGCATGGTTTGTGTTCTTGGTGTGTATTTTGTTTAGCTAATATTAGATATGAGCGATTAGGAAGACGGAGATTATTAATTAATAAAGGGTTATTAAATGTTATACCTTCTTTAACTTTATGATGATTTTTATTAAGATCAGGAAATATAGCTGTTCTTCCTGTATTAAATTTATTAGGGCAAATTTCTTTAATAAATAGAATTGTGGGTTAATCTTGATACTCAATAATTAGGTTATCATTTTTGTCTTTTTTTTGAGCTGCATATACCTTATATTTATATTCTTATAGACAGCATGGAAAAAAATTTATTTTGGAACTTTTTCTTTTAGAATAAATAATATACAGGAATTTTTATTATTATTGTTATATTGAGTTCCTTTAAATTTATTAATTATAAAAAGTGAAATAATTGTTATTTATTATATTTAAATAGTTTAACTAAAACGTTGATTTGTGGTATTAATAATATAATATTTTATTTTAAATTATGAGGAATTTTTCTTTATGTAGAACAAGATTTTGATTATTAATTGTTTTATAAATTATTTCTTTTTTAATTAGGTTTGTTATTTATTAATCAAGATTATTTAATTTTTTTAGAATGAGAGTTCATTTCTTTAAATAGAGTTATAATAGTAATAACTCTTTTATTTGATTGAATAAGATGAATTTTTATATGTTTTGTTTTATTAATTTCTTCTTTAGTAATTTATTATAGAAAAAAATATATATTAGGAGATATAAATATTAATTGATTTATTTTGTTAGTTATATTATTTGTTGGTTCAATAATATTTTTAATTATTTCACCAAATTAAATTAGAATTTTATTAGGATGAGATGGTTTGGGATTAGTTTCTTATTTATTAGTGATTTATTTTCAAAATGTGAAATCTTATAATGCAGGTATGTTGACTGTTTTGTCAAATCGAATTGGAGATGTTACTTTGTTATTAACAACTGCTTGAATATTAAATTATGGATCATGAAACTATATTTTTTTATTAAAATTTAATATTTTAGATGTAAATATAATAATTATTGGAATGTTAATTATAATAGCTGCAATAACTAAAAGAGCTCAAATTCCATTCTCAGCTTGGTTACCTGTTGCAATAGTTGCTCCTACTCCTGTTTCAGCTTTAGTTCATTCATCAACTCTTATAACAGCTGGAATTTATTTATTAGTTCGATTTAATTTATTAATTGGTGAATCTATTTTAGGACAATGTTTATTATTAACTCCAGGTTTAGAGCCAATTTTTAATTTGATTAAAAAGAATTTATTGCATTATCTACACTAAGTCAGTTAGGATTAATAATAAGAATTTTATCATTAGGATTTTATAAATTAGCTTTTTTTCATTTGTTGACTCATGCTTTATTTGAAGCTTTATTGTTTATGTGTTCTGGAGCTATTATTCATACTATAAATAATTTACAAGATATTCATTTAATAGGAGGTTTGGGAATTTATAATGGTGCAAATTTAGCTTTATATGGGATACCTTTTTTAGCAGGATTTCATTCAAAGGATATAATTTTAGAAATTGTATCTTTAACATATATTAGTATATTTTCTTTTTTTTTTATTTTTTTCTACGGAATTAACAGTTAGATACTCAATTTGTTTAGTTTATTATTCATTAGTTGGAAATTTTAATTTTTTAAGTTTGAATATATTAAGAGATAATAGTTGAATTATATTAAAGGGGATACTTGGGTTATTATTTATAAGAATTATTGGAGGAGGATTTTCAAATTGGTTATTGTTGTTCACTCCTTCAATAATTTGTTTACCTTTTTTTTTTGGTTCTATATGATTTATTCCTAATATTGTTTATAATTTTTTATTTTTAGGTAAAGAGTTATATAAAAGAATTGATCAAGGCTGATCAGAATTTTTTGGTGGATTTTATTTGTATAAACATTTAGCAAAATATTCAAAGTTTAATCAATATTTACAAAATAATAGATTAATTATAATATAGTTTATTTTTTTTTTATATTAGTATTTTTTGTTAATTGATATTTAAATAGCTTATATTTAGAGTATTACACTGAAGTTGTATTGGAGATATATTTATCTTTTAATATTTAGTGAATTAAAATTAGTAATTATAAATATTATTTATTTATTTTTACAATGAAAATGTTATGTTTTTAATAAAGTAATAAATAGAAATATAAATGGAATTTAAACATTAAAAATAAAAGTCACCAGCTTTTTTTTGTCCATTATATATCTTTAATTGGAATCTCATTCAATTTTATTATTAACAGTAATAAACCTTTATTTTGGTTTCAGTTAAAGAGGATAAGGGTAGATTTACCTAATCTTAGGTCGAAACTAAATGTGACTTATCATTTCATATTCTTTATAAAATAGATTACATAAATAATATTTTATGAATGCAAATCATATGTTAAATTTACCTGCAATCCTAAATTTATTAATCTTATTTAATTGGATCAATTTAGTATTCCTTGATTTCATTCATGGTATACTCCTACTAATAAAATAATAATAAAGATAATTGAAGTTATTCTTCACATGAATTAATTAGAAAAATTTTAAATTATGATTAAAATTATGATTTTCTAAAATCGAAAAAAATAATTGTAATTAAAAAAAAATGAAGTGAAAATGGAGAAAGGAGAATTTTTTTCCCGATCATTTAGTATTTTGTTTGATAAGATTGATGCTAGAAATATTACAACAGAACAAATTAATAGAATACTTAATGCTGTAGTTGTTAATAATAAGATTATCTAATCTATATTTTATAGACTTTATGATTGGAAGTCATATATACTTTTTATATTATTTAGATAAATAATAAAGTTAATTATCCTCCTCATCAGTAGATTGAAATATAAAGAAATAATCAAACAATATAAACAAAATGTCAATATCAAGCAGCTGCTGCAAATCCAAAGTGGTGATTTTTAGGACAATGATTATTTAAATGACGAACTAGACAAATTAATAAAAAAGTTGTTCCAATTAAAATATGAATTCCATGAAATCCTGTTGCTATAAAAATGTTAATCCATAAACAGCATCAGTAATTCTGAAAGGTGCTTCAATATATGCATAAGCTTGTAAAATTGTGAAATAAACTCCTAATAATCCTTGAGATGTTTGTGAATGATTATTTTCTATTAATCTGTGATGAGCTCATGTAACTGTTACTCCTGAAGCTAATAAGTATTTAATAGCAGTATTTAATAGTGGAATTTGAAATGGGTTAAAAGGAATAATTCCTATAGGGGGTCATGAGGCTCCTAATTCAATAGTTGGGGATAAACTTTTATGGAAAAGAGCTCAAAAAAACGAAAAAAAAATAAAACTTCAGAAAAAATAAATAAAATTAAATCTCATCGTAATCCTGTTGTTACTTTAAATGTATGTTAACCTTGAAATGTTCCTTCTAAAATAAATAATGATATATTATGTTGATGAAATCATTTGATTATTCCTGAAACGATTGTTATTGCACCAATAGCTCTTGTAAAAGATCAAGGACTATTATTTACTAAATGAAATGGATGATTTGAATGAGTTGACATTAATTTACTTCTCCAGAATAAAGCGTTCTTAATACCTCAAATACATATGATTGAATAATAGCTACAGCAGATTCCAATAATAATATTAAGATTTGTCTAAATAATAAAATAGATAAAGTCCATGAAGTTAATGATGGGCCTGTGTTACCTAATAATGGTAATAATAAATGTCCAGCAATTATATTAGCAGTAAATCGAACTGCTAAAGTTCCTGGTCGAATAATATTTCTAATTGTTTCAATACTTACTATAAAAGGTATTAAGATTGCTGGGGTTCCTTGAAGAACCCATAACCATAAATTCAACCATAAATTATAAAAGAAACTCATGATGGAAGAGATAATGGTAGAGTTAATGTCAAGTGACTAGTTCTTGTAAAAATATAAGGAAATAATCCTATAAAATTATTAAATAAAATTATTGTAAATAAGGAAATGAAAATTAATGAAGATCCATTTTTTCCTGTGGGTCCTAATAATGTTTTAAATTCTTTATGAAGAGTTAATAAAATATTATTTCATAAAATATTATAACGAGAATGAATTAATCAATAAATTTTTGGAATTATGATAATTCCTAAAAAAGTTCTAATTCAATTAATAGAAAAGTTAAAGATACTTGAAGGGGGGTCAAAGACAAAAAATAAATTTGTTATCATTTTCAATTATATATATTAGTTGTTGATGTTTTATAACGTAAAGATTGTGTAGAAGTGCATACCAGATGGTGGTATGGAGAAGTGTATCGAATGCACGTTTAAAGTCGATAAACAGCAAGTATAGGGGAGATCGCCATTCGCTAGACTGTTCGACTATTATTCGAAGGCTGTTTATGTGGTCGGCACATGATCGATTATGCCTAAATCCTGCTTGCTCGGCTCGTAGTGTAGGCTCAGCGGCCGAAGTTAAACGTTTATGTAAAATTTGAGCAATAACTTTATAAGCTACATTTAGTAAAGTTATGCCTCTCCAGTTGGAGCATTCCATCAGGTTACCTTTCTTTGGTATATTAATAATGATGCCGTCTTTAAGATTAGGCGGTAATGACTCTTGGGACCAGAAGTTGTTGACAATTGGTTGAATAATTTGAGCAGCTGAAATTTTGTCTGCTTTGAGCAGTTCGGGGGCAATATTGTCCGGACCAGCGGACTTACCTGCTTTAAGCTGAGTTATTGCTGCCTCAATTTCACTGATGTTAGGTACATATGTGTTTATATCGTTGCGAGCAACATGTTCGTGGTGTCTACTACATAGTTCCTGCTGAGGATAGGTGTTGTTTCCCGCTAGGAGATTTCTGTAGTGATCTTCCCAAACTTTTAGCTGATCTTCGGTAGAGTGTACTAGTTCGCCTCTGGTATTTTTTATTGGCTTTGCAATCCTGTGTTTACGTCCCACCATAGCTTTAGTGATGTTGTGTAGGTCTTTGAGCCTATGTGATTCGCTTGCTTTTTGGGCTTCTGTTGCTAAATTGTCGAGCCATCTGCGCTTATCGGCTCTAGCGCTGCGTTTAACTTTGCGGTTGGCAATACTGTAGTTGGCTTGTGCCTGTTGCTTTGTTTGGCGCGTTCTTGCCCTGTTAACCTTTTCTTTTTCTCCTTTGCGCGCTTTTATAAGATTCCATGTATGTTCGGTGATCCACGGATTATTTTGACGTTGAGGAATACCGACACTTTGTTGTGCTGCTTCAGTGAAGGCACATTTTGCTTGTTCCCAATAAGTTTCGGCTTCAAAGATTTCTTCTTCTAGTGGCAAGGAATTAGGGATTTGGGCCGATAAAAGAGATTGATAGTTATTTTGAACAGTAGGGTTGTCGAGTTTGGCGAGATCGAACCGTTTCCTTTTGAATTGTGGCTTTCTAAAGACCGCATTTAATTTGAGTTGTATTTCACCGATTAATAGATGGTGGTCAGAAGCCATGTCTGCACTTCTTTTCTTTCTGACATCACATAATGAATGTCTCCACATTTTGCTGATGGCAATGTGGTCGATTTGATTTTCTGTTGCATTATCTGGGGAAATCCAAGTGACTTTATGCAAATGTTTGTGCGGGAAGAGACTACCTCCTATGGTGAGGCCCATGGTGTTACATAATTCATAGATACGCTCCCCATTATCGTTCATTGTGCCGAGAGCATGTTTACCCATCACTTGCTTTCTTCCATTGTTATCTGGCCCGATTTGTGCGTTGAAATCTCCCATGACGAGCTTTATTTCACCTCTAGGGCATTTATTTAAAACAGAGTATAGGGAGTCATAAAAATTTTCCTTGATTTGTGGATCGGTGACTTCAGTAGGCGCGTAACACTGTATGCATGTGAGGGTTCTGGCTCGAGTTTTAAATTTTGCCAGAATTATTCGGTCGCCATGTGGTTGCCATTCTATGAGCGCTTGTTTAGCTTCTTTGGATAATAGAAAGCCTACTCCACTTTCTCTTTTTTCGCCTGTGGCCTTTCCTGAGTATATGAGTGTAGCGCCGGAGGATGTTTTGTATTCGCCGCAGCCATTCCATCTTACTTCGCTTAGCCCGATGAATAAAAGATTGAGACGTACAAATTCACGTTCAAGTTGAGCAAGTTTTGATGTTTCTGCTAGAGTTCTTATATTCCAGGTTCCGAATCGTTTCCGTATTTTCATTCCAATAGTCGTCATCAAAGGGAGCCGTTGGTTATAATTATTTGTTTCGGCTTCAGTAATCGTGTAGATTCAGATGAACGAGTGATTAGCCCATGCATCCTATACTGGTACTGGGGCTGCCAGTTAAGGCCACCAGTCAGACCTTCAGACTCGAGAGTCCGAGAAAACGGTGGGCTTCTTAGCGAAGATTGAAGATGCTGTATCTTGCCTACATCCCGGGACGTCATGGAGGAAAAAGACCATCCGGATCGCGAACCGTTGTGGATTGCTCTTAGCTTCAGATGCTCCTCTTTGACCTTACCGGCAAGGGAGGCCCTACCAGTAGCTACGCTACCGCCGGCATCACTCTCAGGATCATTGCACCCTACTAAGTCCCCTCGCCACGACAAGGCCACAATCCCCGAGAGGGTCATCTCCAATTAAAGCTCCAGGATGTCCAAATTCTCCTCGATTTGAAATTCTTAAAGAAGTTCTTACTATTTCATGCACCAAATAAAAAATAAAGGGTTGCAATATCTTTATGATTTGTAGAAAAAAGCCATTGTCGCTATTGATTAAATGGCTGATTTTTAGGCAATAGCCTGTAAATTTATTCATAAGAATTATTTCTATTTAATCAGTAGCTACCTTTATAGTCAAATAAATGATTTTAGACTGCAATTCTAACGGTGTATTTTATTATACTACGGCTTAAGAATTATTTCATACTTTCAGCTTTGAAGGCTACTAGTTTTATTAACTTAAAACCTTTATTTAGTAAAGGTAAAAAATTGAAACTAATAATAATCTAAATCTAAAAAAAAAATGAAATAGTTAAATAAATAAAGTTAAACCTATTTCTAATTAAATTATAATATAAAATTTTTGATTCAAAAACAACACTTAATATAAATGCTGAATAAGTTAAAGGAAGATAAAAAAATAAAGTAATTAATGAAGTTATTAGAAGAATTATTAATAATAGTAATCTATTATTAATATTAATGTATTGAATAACTCATCATTTTGGTAAAAATCCTAAAAAGGGGGGTAATCCTCCTAAAGATAAAATATTTATAAAAGTTAAATATTTAAAACCTTTTATTTTACTAAAGAGTAAAAAATGTTGATTAATATGAGTTAATTCATATACATTAAATATGAATATTAATGTAATTGCTAAAAAACAATAAAATAAAAAATAATTTAATCATATTATGTTATTAGAATTTATTGAAATTAATATTCATCTAATTTGATTAATGGAAGAAAAAACTACAAATTTTCGTAAAGAAGTTTGATTTAAACCTCCAATAGCTCCAATAATAGCAGATAAAATGATTCTTGTTCTTATTAAGAAATTATTTCTAATATATGAGGTTAAACTTACAGGGGCAAGTTTTTTTCAAGTTATTAAAATAATTAAATTTATTCATGATAATCTTTCTGATACTCTAGGAAATCAAAAATGGAGAGGTGCGGCTGCTATTTGTGTTAGTAAAGAAGAATGAATCATTAAATAATTTTTTTCTAAGGATTCATTAATACTCTTATTTTTGAGAATTAAAATAATAGAAAATAACAAAATAATGGATCTAAATGCTTGGATTAACAAATATTTTAAAGAAGCTTCAGAAGATATTAAGTTATTTTTAAAAATAATTAAAGGAATAAATGCTAGTAGATTAATTTCTAATCCTATTCATGCTATTTGTCATGAATTTGAAGATATGTATAGTAATTATTGTTCCCATAATTATAATTAAAAAAATAAAATTTTAGATGAATTGATAAAAATTAAAAAAAAAGGATAAATGGATTAAGAACCCAGTAACTTAATTAGCCTATTTTTTTATTAGTTTTATTTAAATATGTTTTAATTTAAGAAGCACAAAACATTTTGATTCTTTTAGAAATAGTTTAATTTTATTAAATATAATTAAATTAAGGAATATGGTAAACCACATGGTTTACTCTATCAAAGTAACCCTTTAATCAGGCAATTTATTGGAAAAATTTCATTGAAATTTTGCACTGAATTTTTATTTTTTAAGAAAATTGTGTAATTTTATTAAAAATTTTTTTAAATGTGGTAATATATATATATATATATATTAGTTATTTTAATTTAAATACTCATATTAGATTTTTAGAAATTATATATTTAATAAAATTTTATTATTGTTTTAATAAATTATAATTAATTTAAATTATTAAAAAATAATTTAATTTATAAATGAAAAATTTATTAAATATTTTTAGATGTGACTTTAATATAAATTTAGAATTTTATATGTAATTTTAAAAATTATATTTTTTTATAAATATTAAATATTATTTAAAAAAAAAAATATATTATATATATATATTATATTTTTATATATAGATATTTAATTTTTTCCTATATATATAACTAAATATTAAATTATTATATTTATATAAATAGATTATATATATATTATCATAAATTTCGGAATTTAAAATATTAAATATTACATATTTTTTAAATATTCTTACGGGTCATTCTTTTACAACTCGGACACCTTTTTGACCTCATGATCTCCGATTTGGCTGAATTTTTTTTATGAGCTCCTTTCATAAAATAAGAAGACCCGTATCTCGGGAAAAAATTTTGTAATTTTTTTCCTAGGATATATAGACCCATGGGGTTTTGAGAAGTGGTATTGTAGACATATTTTCAAATGGTTGTATCTCAAGTTCTGTCAAAGGTAGAAACCTGAAATTTACAGCATTTCAAAGATAATTGATTGAACTTTTATGAAATTGTTTAAACAAATAAAACTGTTTTTATTTAAGTACTAATATTAACCGTTAAATTTAAAAAAAAAATTTTCTCAAAACTAGTTTGTAAAGAGGTTTTTTCGAACAGTGATGAACTACAACAACAAAAATTCATTTTATATTATTTTATTGAATTAAATTTTTGGCTGATCATACAGCTGATTCGAGTATTGCCAAGTACCCATCATCAGTGGTCTTGGAAAAAATTCTTATATTTAATTATTCGTAAATAATTATTTTTGAGACTGCAAGTATCGCGCAGCTCAGAATCAGCGCAGCTTAACCAACTGATCCAAAGCCGTACTTGACTTTTTTATTCTCATATTTTGCTGGAGTTTTTTTGTTACTTTTGCTATTAAAGTTTTTATTAACAATTTTACTTGCTGTGTTTATATTAGAACGAAATCACAAACCAGCCGTAGAATAATTGAATTAATTAATTATATTCTTTTATTTTATTTTTTAATTGTTGAATTTCAATACTATTCTGTTCGTAGAGGCATTATTTGTTGCATGATTTGTTCATTCTTTTGTATAGAACCTAATCTAGGAACGTAATGCTAAGAAAGTCATGCTAATGCTACTCCACTGGTTTGTAAATTTTCATTTTTAATATTTTATTTAAATTCAGTTTAAAATTTTACTACGAAATAAAAATTTTCGAGATACCATCTTTTTTTTTGAAATTTTTTTAATATTTTTTTTTTTCTCCCGCAAAACACATCAACCACATGCGTACTACATTTCCATTGAATGAATTTTCAAAGAATATACTACAAATATTCTTATAAATTATTTTTGATTTCGATAATTAATACAATTCTACATAAATCTCAAAAATTTCTGGACGATATTGTTATTAGAAGTACTTTTAAAAATTTATTTATCCTTCATATCACACCTAACATATACACACGATATTTTAATATATTAATTCTAGTTAAAAAATAAATATTTCCAGTGTGATATTCTTTTTAGAAGAAATTAAAAAAAATTAATTAATCAGGTGTCCTTCACGTTACTCATACGCACTGTAGTACCATTAAATCAATTTTCGAAAAAAAATCCACACAAAAATCTTTACTTTTTGTTTTTAAAATAAATGTATATTAAATTCTACATAAAATATAACCATTTTAAATTAGTTCCGTATCATTTCTTTTTTTAAATTATGAATTTTAACATAATTGAACCGTTTAATAAACTTTTTTCTTACATAGATAAATTAAAACGTTAATTAGCCGAATTACCCAGATAACTGCAACATATAATCACACCTACCTTTTTCGGTTTTATTCTGCTACAGTTGGAAAAATACTCTTCACAGGTAAGAAATGTTATAGGAAATAAACTGTAAATAAATCGATATGGAGAGTTTAGATAGATCTATCTTATAAAGATACTGGAATCAAATTAGACATAAATGTTAAGTAAGTCTGACAAGTTCTCAGTTTCTGTTTTAAAAGCGATCAAACAAGTAAGAACATTTCAATAATGGCAAAAGTTGAAACAAATAAAATGCATCTAAGCTAATTAAATAACTTAAAAGGTTTCAATCCGCTGAAGTTGAAAATGCAACCCAAACAAGGCCAAAGTAAGGCAAGTTTCAGATCATATCCTGCGTATATGTAATACTTGCCGACTCAAACTGGAGATGAGGGCCAAAAATAATAAGATATATAAAGAAGGTATATCGGCAAACAATAGGCAGTCTTCGAGCGAGGAAAATATGCAACCATCAATTAATAGCAGTTCGGCTGTATACGAAACTGAAAGGTGCTCTTAGTCCATTAAACAAAGTATTATCTTTAATAAGCAATACCCCAATTACATCAAAAAAACTTAAACAACAGCAATATAAAAATGTAAAAATAAAGGATATAACTGAAACGATTAAGCATAAAATTTTCAAAATTCCTCCCGATGAATCCAACAATAGTGATGAAGACGACGACTCTGCATCAATTTTAAAAAATCTGCATTAAAAATTCAATGGCACAGCAAATAGGACAATGAAAATAAAAATATTGAGTGTAGTACATTATTGGCCTTTTCGGAAAATTACAACTCACTTCCCAAACGCTACAAAACATAGGATTTCTGTAGCTAAAAAACTTGCTTCAGAAAATGGAATCTTAGAAGACCCAAAAGAAGAAGATTCAAAAATCCAACCATCACTAGAAAAATGCCTGGGAAAAAAGACTGCGTGTCCGTAATTG